AGAGAGAGAGAGAGAGAGAGAGAGAGAGAGAGAGAGAGAGAAGCTACAGAGAAGGAGGAACGGGGAGAAAGGTTAAGAGGGAAGCCAACTGTGAAGTATTGTGAGTCGTCACGAGCTGTTGTGAGATCAGAGTAGAAACCTGTGTCAATAGTTCGACAATCGGAATCTTCACTCGGTAATTTCGTTGGGTAGCACCATATACAATGTGTGGTACGGGCGAGCACTGTATGTTGCCGATGTTTTGTGTAGTTTCCCTCGGCTAGACGTTCTCGCAAGAAGGTGCCGCACAAAACATACATGGTGTACGTTTGCTGTATCGCGTAAAACTTCTAGAAACATTTGCCAAGGTTTGGGGCCGTTGCTGTGACACTTGGTGTCGCATATCTTTCGCTCGCGATTTATGCCCGAGAAGAGCCCCAATCGAAGAGCACCCGGCTCACCCCCCGCCTTTCGCCCAAACTCCAACGCCGTTTTCCTCGGAAAAACCCAGGTCTCAGCCTGGGGGCGTGCGAACGACCTCCCCCCGGCGCCGCCCCGACCGCCGGTAACCGTATCCAGCGCGAACGACTTCCCCGCTCAGGACTCCGACTTCCACCGACCGGCAGGTACCGGCAAGCCCCCATCGGTGCTGGCCGCTGCCAAGCGCGGCGACAACACCAAGAGCAACAAGAGTAACGTCAGTTGGTCCCCTTACGTGTCGGATTCCGAAGAAGGAAGCGAGGACTCAGAGAGCCTGCCGTGGGGGGTAGGAAAGTTGGGAGGCGGAGGTGGCAGAGGAGGTCGAGCGGCGGGCGGAAAGATGGGGAAGAGGGACGGCGTGGCGGTAGCTACCGCGGGGAGCGGGTACGCGAGTGGCAGTAAACGAGAAGGAAACGTCGGCGGTGGTGTAGGGAAAATAGCGCAGGAAGGGAGGGGATCCGACCGGGGGGGAGAAGAGGGCTCTGACGACAACAGTGATGAAGACGAGGCCGACGAAGACATTCACGCTCGGTGAGAGAGTAGACTTCCACGCTGGTGGTTCCTTTCGACACCATAATTGAATTCCGAAAGCATTGCATTGGTCAGGCTGATATAGGAGTCGAATACGTTGTTCAGGTCGGTACGGCATGGCACAAAATCGTTTGTACTCCACCCAGTTACCTGACGTCCATATTAAACCAGGCGTGTTGTACTACGCGTGAAGACGGTCTGCAAATTTGTGGGAGGGATAGGACGGTCGAAATCCACAGCCACCATGTTCCGAAAGCAGTGTGGAATCAAACTCTTGTGCAATCATGTACCGGAAGGGTGGGTTGTATAGCAATTCCAACCTTGACTCTTGTATGGTGTGGCGTGACATGATCTCTATGGAAGAGCATAGTGCCAATCGCACACACCTCGGGAATAAACCAACAATGTTATCAATTAGCACGGTACCTCCTACTCCGTGCCCCACGTCTTTACCCACTGGGTAGTTCCCTCCTTTTCGACATCTTTTCCCCAGGCGTTGGAAGGTTCACATTGCTGAATGATGGTGCATCGACTTGATCATCAAAGACCACGCACAACAACCCCCCCGTGGTACTAGTGTAGGCCTCATCTTCATAAATGTTCGCCCGGCTCTACCCATCTGTCTGTGAACGTACACGCAGAGAGGAGTTGCTTGAGGTCGAGCTTCAAGCGGCGAAAACGCGGTGCGAGGAGCTGAGACACCACCTACAGGTCCGGGAACAAATACAAGTGCTGTCAAGAAAACATGAAGCAAGCAACAACAAATGACCCGGCTGGAACAAAGAATGAGCTATGAAGTGTAGCGGCCTGTCTGCGACAGGCCCGGCAAGGCTCCGTTGGAATCGTCTTGAGTGACTTGAGTGACTTGAGTGACTCACTCCCCAATGACCTACGTCTCGGCTAATACGGATGCGATTCCCCGGTCGTTTCCAACCCCAGGGCACGTTCGGGGATGAGTAACGTGTGAGATACCGGTATAGGTTATTGGGCCTAGAGCTTCATTGGAAAAGTCATTGATAGGCGGCGCAAGACGCTTATCGATCGGAAAGAAGAGTAAGGAGCGCGGCAAAATAACAGTGCAGCACAGGAGTTTCGAGAGCGTGTCCTGTTTGACATAAAGGCCGACATGTTCGTCGAGAGAGACAACACGAACAACACGCCCCGAGAAGTGACCGACAAGCTGAAGCGGCACACGACCAAACGTCGCAGACAGACCTACCGTTCCGAGCAGGCTGGGCCTCATGCTTTTCGATGCCAGCTCACTAGAAAGACAGCTTTGCATCACACCAATCGTATCTCTCTCGAACCATCCTCCCTCAGGAGACGAAGTCCATGATCCCGGCGACGGCCCTTGTGGTCGTGGAGGGCGGCGGTGGCGAAGGCGGGGGTGGCGTTAGAGACGGCGGGCGCGGCGGGAACGGAGGCGTAGCCAGTGTTCGTTCCGGCGGTGGTCACGACCGCCTCGAAGCCGGGGCGGCAGACGACAGCTACGCAGCAAAACGTCTCGCTGCCGTGGCTTCCGGTTCATCCCTGGGGCGGGAAAAGAATGGGGGCGAGGAGGAAGAAGAGGAGGACGAGGAGGAGGACGAGGACGAGGACGAGGACGAGGAGGACGAGGATGGGGAAGGAGAAGCCGGAGGGACCCGAGGGAGAAGAAGCGATGCTGAGCCCGGTGGCGGCAGCAACAACAGAGGAAGCTTCCGGGATGGTGAGTACGACCGGGAACAGAGACGGCCAGGCATCAGGGTTCGCCGAGCGTGGGGTCAGGCCGCCGACACCTCCGAGAATGCCGACGTTGTACTGCCACTGCCACCAGGCGCGGCAGCGGTGGAAGCGGCGGCAGCGGCGGAGGGGCCACGAGTTGTGGGAGATGCTGGTGGTGGGGGGGGTGGCGGGGGCGGTTGGACTGAGGGGACAACAGCCCAACCCTCTAGGGGAGAAGCGGGATTGGACTCATCGGAGGAGAGCCGGAATAGCTACTACCCGTACGACCAAAGCCAGCTTGAGGTGAGAGGGGCAGTGGCAATCAACCCCTCCACCCCCGGAAACTCGAGCCCCCAGCGCAAACCCCTGAACTGCTCCCCCGAGTCATCCACGCAGCAAATGAAACACTTGCTGCGAGTATCATATCGCCGAAGACATCGAAAGAAGCTCTCACGGGATCACCCATGTTCGAACTGGGAAAGTGCTACAACGGTGCTGCAGTTGCTATCAACCTTGTTCTTGTTGAATTACGAATTCCGCATGATAAAATTGGACACAGGTGGCAACACCATGAAAAATCCCTAAGGTACATATAATTTTCAAGCCCTCCCGTCTACCCGGGCCGCTCTCTCTCCGGTGTTGTCTTTGTATCCATTCGTTCCCACCCGCACGGTCGGGTCGACCCTCTCAATGCGGGACATGCACGCCAACGCTCACAGAGCGAGGCGAAAGCCTTGAACGGTCACAGTGGAATGCACTACGACGACGACAGCACCAATAAGAACGACAACGACGTCGGAAAACCGGAGAAGCTTTTTCAGCGCCGCTATCCACAACCGGCAAGCCAAGCCTCCTCCTCCTCCTGCCCGGCGTCCGCTTCTGCTCCCGATCCTGCTCATACCGCTGAGAGCACTACCGCGAACGTTGTTGCAGCTGGGAAGCACAGCCAAAGAAGTGGCACGCGAGAGAGCAAGCGCTCCTCACGCCTCACGCCCGCGCGCGCTGATGTCAGCGGTGAAACCCCCACTCCTCGCCTTCCGCATCATGGCGCTGCTTCCGGAACCAACGACACTGGTACGCATGGGAGGCCAGAAACGCGTACGGTCGGCACGGTTTCTGCGGCGGCAGCGGCGGTGGAAAGGCCGCCGAGGGCTGAGTCTTCCCCGTCGCCGCCACCAACGGCACCCGCGGGGAGGCTTGCAGATCGAATCCGGACGCTCAGGGAGAGGTGTTGCCTGGGGCTTGGAGCCGATGCGTTCGAGAGGGCATACGGTTACTTAAAGGTGAGGCGAGAGAGGTATCGAGACAACGGTACCCCCGTTTTGCTGTCCTTCCTGGTCCCTCTTGTCTGTTCACCACCTCAGGAAGATAGGGTTGTTTCCAGGCCCATCTGGGGCGAACGTCTCGGAAACCCTCTTCACAAAGGTATACTTCACTCACGGTGTGGAGTTCGGTGTTGCACACCAACATCTTATCTCGGGGTAATTCAGTTCTGTGAAAAACAACTTTTTTGTGTGTTACACCAATTTGCTGAGTTGGACAACTTTTGTCTGCATGATGAGGCCATGATCATTGAGCTTACAAAGTGCAGCGAGCCTCGCGTTCTCGATAAATCGGGTGTAGTTGCGGCAGCTGATTGGTCGACGTCGTCGACCCAAGGTCGAGATTTTTTAGTGAGTGTTGTTGAGGGTGTATACGCTTCCGTCCCTTAAGCACAGTCGGTGACCGCGGCAGTTGACGAAAGCGGTTGTTCAACAAAAAACACATGTCTGCAGTGAACAACAAAGAAAACGAGCGCGGCTTCCGCTTGCGTTTCATGCCGACCAATTACACGCCTTTTAGCTAACCAATGACCCGCCTTTAAGCTGATGGCGCTCCTTTGTCCTTGAGGGGTGTTTAATGGGAAATCCGACTCTCGTTGGTACCACGTGATATCGATTGTTGTATCGGCAGGCACAAGAGGAACTGGAAGAGCTGGATGGGGGATGCAGCTGTTCTTTAGACGTCGATCGCGAAGAGCGACTAGTTAGGGGCCTCACAGATATCATTGGACAAAACAAGGTACACTTCATAGAAGTATCTGCTGCTGCGATTGGACGTGCCAGAATTGTCTGGACGCTTGCGCTGCTGTACCGCTGAAAAATGAGGGCGCAATTGTAGCAGCATCTCGACAGCTTCGAGATAAATCCACCGACGAAGCAGTCCTCTTTTTACTGTTGTTGGTGTGTCATGTATCAAGTGCAATCTGTCGTACAATTCCCGATCGATCCTTGATCATTTTGGACCAGTGTAACTTTCGAAACGCCGTCGAGCCAAGGTCCTTGTTGACATGTCTTAATGGGTGAGAACCCGCCGCTCCTGCCCGTTCAAATCAAACGCGATAGATGGAGGCAATCCTGGTTACGGGTACGTACCTCCATGTTAGAGCCCTGTAGGACACGGTCCATCAGAACCAAGTTCCAACGAGCTGCGACTGGACGGTCTCAAGACTGGAAGATGAGCTACATTCGAGCACACCCCCCTTTCCCCACCGACCTTTTGACCTCACTCTCGGCTGTGACAGGTTCACTACTACAGCCTGATTGACCAACTCATCTTCATCGAGAACACCCACGTCGGGTCCAGTTTATGACTTGGCTTGGGAATGCGACGCACGTGTCCAGGAAATCAGTGCGGGCGGGGTATGCCACACCGCAAACGACGGCGCGAGGTCACGCTTTGTCCCTAGACGGCAGGAATGGCTACTGTCGGGCCTCCGGACGAGGAAAAAGCTACGTTTGTTGTCGGAGATGGAATGAACTGACGTTCGTCACAACCGAAAGAGTACCGCATCACTGTTGGAAAAACGGGGGCACATGCATGTAGAGCACATTTCGCGTGCCTCCCCGGAGGACACCAGCGGAGAGAGCACGGTACGCCGTACAGCACGCGTGCGCCGTAGTCGTCAGCTGTTGCGCTCGTGAGCGCGAGCGAGGACCACGGAGTACGTGAGAACGCCGAGGGATTGAGAAGTGTCTTTGCTGCCCACCCACCCCTTTTATTTCGAAGGTTGGGGAACGGAAATGGTACGAAATCCTTTATTCCCTTTGGCTGGGTTTCTAGAATTTATCATTTGGGTGTAATTGATTGGTCGATTACCATTTCAGGACTTGGTCATTCCAGACCCCTCGTTCAGCAGCAGTAGTCGGATTTCCCCCGGCTGGATATTGTTCACTTGCGAGCTGAGAGAGAGAGAGAGAGAGAGAGAGAGAGAGAGATACCCAGAGAGAGAGAGAGAGCTCATGAGGGGAAACAGGCGCGAGGCTTGTGCGTTCCGAACGCCGGCTCCTTGTCCCTTCTCTCTCTCTATCCCTGATGAACTAGAAACCGACAAATGATGAAGCAACTCGAAAGAACAACAACAAACCTGTCACCGACGAAGCATGCCCGTACCCACTAAAGCTGTCTGTCGTGCTCCGAGGGATGTAAAAAGGGTTGGGGACACTCATCTTTTTGTTGAGGGCACATGAGGTTGGGGAATGTTCTCACCATGCGCAAGAGGCACCGCGGATAATCGTCTAACAAGACACGTCGTGCAGTTTGCAGAAAACACATGATGTCCGGCTGCTAGAATTGGCAAATGCGACTTCTTCGTTTGACGGCAACAACGAGGAGCATGAGACCCTCGTAGGCTCCATGTGGTTCTGCCAAACGGGAAACGAAGGAATTTAGCGAAGGTTTAGGTGTGATGTCAAACCTTGAGAATGAGATTTGAACTCATCGTATGGACCGTTTCTGAGGCCTCGAAACTTCCTCTTGAATGGCGCGAGGAAAACGGATGTGGTGAGGAATGTTGTGCCAGAAAATCTCCCTGGCGTCGCGAAGTCTTGACTACAACACAACGGGGTGAAGGTTGACTCCGTCGTGAAGGCATATCTTCGTAGGACCTTACCACCGTAATCACGCGGGAATTAGAGTGTGTCTCCACCATTTCTTGGCCAGTGTACTGGGCCACCGAGTCTCTCAGAGACCAGCCAAACAAATGTTTCAGTCACCATCCCTTGCTGCATTTCCGACTTTTACAACGCCTCGACAAACGAGTATATTCCGCGGGCAAACCCCCCTCTACTTGGTGCATGTAGAATACGTCAACGCTAGCCATTAGGCATGGTTGCGTGGAAAATATGTACATCGTCTGTCAACCATGAAATCTCCCCGCGAGTACGAAGCGGGTAAAAGTCCTGGCATGACTCTCGTTGGACACATTAAACGACTGGGGGGGGCGGGGCTAGACCGTGGATCGGAGAAGATTATTCTGAGCCGTAGCTTTTCTGCCTGCGGTCTTGCTTTCTTCGGTGTCGAAAGCAAACGTGATATTAATATATCTGACCTTTTTTCGCCAATCCTACGAAGACAACATGCTGGAAACTACGTCCCACTCGCATTCAATTCACAACGCACACGCACTTGGACTTTGAAGGCATAAGCGTAAAGGATTGGTTGGGTGCTGTTTCCTGTCGCATTGCAAAAAGGAAGCACCCCCCGCTCGGATTGCCACGTTCAGATACGAGAACGCGACGGTGACCACATCCCGACACCGCGAACGTGGGTTTCTTCTATATATTCGCAACTCGATCCGCGTGGAGACCCTCATAACACGTCAGACCCTCGCTGTTTAGCAAGGAATCGTCCGCGCCCTTGGTCTTCAGGTAATTCGCAAGGTCCTGGTGTGCCACAAAAGTAGACGCAGCAAACAAGAGATGCGAAACTAACGTTGATACATGCATGAAATCGTGCTGCGCGATTAAAGTTAAATCAAGAACGGCAGTTTTGTCACCGATGACGAACAAAGCGGTAGTCGAAAACCGTAGAGGGACACGCCTGATGGCCCTTTCTCTCTGTGCAATGCAGACAAGATTCAGGTCGGTCAAGAGACGCGTGCGAGATCGCTGAACATTATGCAGCAAAATACAGACGCAATCGGGCAGGGGCACTTATTCAACACGGACGTACTACACGCGGGGACTCAGCCGAGGATTCTTTGAACATACGATTGCGTGAATTATACTTAAATTTCGAGGCAAAATCGGAAACAGTTTCACGGGTTTGATGCATGGTTGCGTGCGTGAGCTCTATCTCTCCGGCACGGCAGCAGCTGTGTCATTTTTCTTGCCTGGTGGTCGTGACTGTAGCAGAAGTGGAGCACCGTGTTGCCGTCCATGTTTTGAAGGTTCATCGTCGCGCCCTTCCTCAGCAGGAACTTGGCGATGCGCTTGTTCCCCTGTGGCGAGTGAGCACGTGAGCCGTGGCCGTTCGAGGAAGGTAGTCAGAGCCAGAAAAGCTTGGATGCAGTGTACATCTTGCATTCCATTGCCTTGGACGCGTAACAACAGGTACCCCACACCACGGTCCGGGTTGAAAATGCTAACGTAACCACCTCCGTACAACGATGGTGAAAAAAGGGGACTTCACTGATTATATTGTTGTCCAAATGGGGAAGCTACTCGTACAAACATCGATTCATCGACGGACTTTGATGGGGAAATGGAAGGAAACACCGCATGTGGGGGAGGAAATCCTTGTGCGCTGACAATGAGGACTGTACACACTCACCAAGCAGATTGGGGCTATTGCCTAAAGCAGGGCTATGAGAAAGAGACAAAGCTTCGAGAACCGTGCGAAGTTGACGTAGCACCAACCTGCTGAGCAGCCAGGAGCAGCAGCGTGTTGCCGTTGGAGTCCTTCGTGTCCGGCGGAACGTTCTCGTACAAAAGCCCCTCCAGTTCCTGCAAAAGTGGGAGGTGGACATCAACGAAATGATCGTTTCTTGCGTGAGTCAAGTGTAACCATCAAAATCATGTTCTTTCCACATGTTTCAGGAGAGAATTCACGCTTGAAACTGCTTTCACACGACAAGTGCAATCAGTTCCAACAACCGAAAAACGGGGAACGCGTATTTCTCAACACTACTCACTAGGTCGGCGAAAAGAAAACGGCAAATCAATCAACATTCGAATTGCTCCGCAGGTTCGATTAGGCATGTTTCTCTTTCCTGCGCCCAACAGGTAGATAATCCATGGTGTCATGGCATCGGGCGTTGGTTGTATCTCATTTTCCTAGTCGATGCAACGCAGCAAGGTCCGATATTGAAGTTGGAAACCTATGGAGAAAGCCACCGATATGCCTCACCGAAAGATTTCCTGTCTTCGCAGCGATGACAGCCTTGGCCTTGTTCTCCTCTTCCTCGATCTCCTCCTTGTTACGACCGTCGTCTTCGGCCAGCGCCATTAGTCGTCTCTCGATCGTGGTGAACTCCTGCTCGTCGCGTTTTATTTTGTTTTGGCGACGACGAAAGGACAACCCGAGGAACAGGCAACAAACAAGCGAGAGGCAGAATATAACACAACTTACACAAGGCGTCAACACGGGTCAAAGGCAAAGGCCGATGCAAGCGGCTGCTGCCATGTTATTCGAGAACTCAGGCGTTCCAAGGTTTTAAACGGCACACGTATACCGAAGAACTGTTTCTCGCCGGTTGGACCCGGGCAGAGGATAGAGTGCTGTGTGGAGGTTGGAACGAATTGTGACCTTAAGTTGACACAACAACAAGCAGCAACAATATATATCAGGACCGTCTAAGAATACCACGGCGCCTACCTGTGGTCCATTGGCGGCGAATTTCGCCGCGTCGAACGCCGCCGAGGAGCTGTCGTCGACCAGCTCCTCCTTCTTCATGCGCCTCTCTGCCTCATGCAAGACCCTGGCGTGTTCCGCCACGACATCCCCAACGAACATTGCCTCCACCGGCACGGACCAGTCCTCGGAACGTTTTGTGGCGTTCGAAGGGTCGGTTGTAGACGAGGGTCGCGGCTTTGGGCTGGTGTTGACGACCTCTGGACGAGGTCCTTGCATCCTATTTGTTGGAGTTGGTGTTGGTGTTGATGGTTATGTGCTGGGGGTGTCTGCTTGCTGTTTTAGGCGCTGGAACACAAGAGATACATACAACCGGGTACTCAAGAGGACTCGTGCCCGCTGCTGTTGTCCGGGTGATGTTTGAATTGCCGAAGAACGTTTACTTGTTGTCGCGATATTTTTAGGTTTGATGCCGCTGTTCCTTGCTGTAAGAGAACCCCTTGTTCAGGCGAACACAATCCTATTTTCGAGAGAAAACACCGTTTGATCTTGTATTACTCGATAATCATTTAGCTAAGTAGGAGTAGTGCTGACGAGATAAGAAAGTTGCCCCGCTGGTGTTCGATAAACCTTCTCCTGACCTTGGGTTCACGACCCTCTCCAAGAACTTTTGCCCGAGGTCAGCCCTAGCCAAACGCCTCCATCCAAGTCCCCCGATCTCACCCTCCAGGCCTACGGCTCTACCGCCTTGCGACTCGTCGGTGAGTGGCAGACGCGGTACGATGGAGTGCTTGGGCTGTTTGTAGCCGTGTCCCCTGTCCGCCTGCAAGTGAGACGAACCAATAGATTTGGCGGATGTCGGCAAGCAGTTGGGTGAGCAGGATGGAGTGGAGTCGGGGGAACAACGAACCGGGCAATTGGAATGACGGTGGGCGTTCAAGGTGGAAGTTGAGGTACTCCCTGCTCTAAACCTGCTCGCTTCTTCGCTCTCTCTCTCTCTCTCTCTCTCTCTCTCTCTCTCTCTCTCTCT